CACATCAACATTGAAACAGATCAGCAGCAACATGATATGGTTTTTCACAGTGATTATTCTAGTTAGAGATTCATGAGTCTAACAGCCTCAGGGTAGAAGCTGTTCCTCAGTCTAGTGGTTCTACATTTAATGCTCCTTAACCTCCTTCCTGAGGGGAGTTGGGCAAAAAGTGTGTGTGCTGGGTGAGTGGGGTCCTTCATGATGCAGGTGGCCCTCTTCCTGCATCTGGAGGTGTAAATGTCTGTGATGGTGGGGAGGCTGATTCCAACAGATTTCTGTGCAGCCTTCACCACTCTCTGCAAAGCTTTTCTTTCTGCAGCTGTGCAGCCTCCATGCCACACGTTGATGCTGGAGCACAGGATGCTCTCCACTGCACACCTGTAGAAGGAGGTGAGGACTGAGCTTCCCAGACCAGCTCGCCTCAGCCGTCTGAGGAAGTAGAGTCTCTGATGAGCTTTCTTGATCAGGCTGGTGGTGTTGTTGCTCCAGCTGAGGTTGTCATTCATGTGTACACCCAAGTACTTGTAGCTGGAGACTACTTCCACCGCAGATCCTCTTATATTCAGGGGGGTGTAGGTGTATTTGTTCCTTCTGAAGTCCACAATCATCTCCTTTGTCTTCTTCACATTGATGTGAAGGTTATTCTCTCTGTACCAGCTCTCCAGGTGTTCCACCTCTTGCCTGTAGCTGTACTCATCATTGTTTGTGATGCATCCCACCACCGCTGTATCATCTGCAAACTTTACAATGTGACAGCCTGGATGGGTAGCTGCACAATCATACGTGAGCAGAGTAAACAGGAGGGGGCTCAACACACATCCCTGAGGAGAGCCAGTGCTGAGGGTTATGGTGGAGGAGGAGAGGTTGTGGATCCTCACTAACTGTGGTCTGTTTGTTAAAAAGTCTAGTACCCAGTTGCAAATGGAGGGACTTAGTCCTAGTGTGGATAGTTTGTCCATCAGGGTTTGGGGGATCATGGTGTTGAAGGCGGATGTGAAGTCCACAAAGAGCATACGGACGTAAGAGTTTTTCTGCTCCAGGTGGTTGAGCGCAGTGTGGATCACAGAGGAGATTGCATCCTCTGTTGATCGGTTCTCACGGTATGCGTACTGATGAGGGTCCTCGTTGATGTTGATGGTTGTTTTGATGTGAGTCATGACCAGTTTTTCGAAGCATTTAGCGACTATCGGGGTGAGGGCCACTGGCCGATAGTCATTCAGACCAGTCACTGTAGAGCTTTTTGGGACTGGGATGATGGTGGCAGTCTTCAGGCAGGTGGGAACTGTCTCCAGGGTAAGTGAGGTGTTAAAGATGTCTGCCAGCACCTCACAGAGCTGATCAGCACATTCCTTCAACACTTTTCCGGGGATGTTGTCTGGGCCAGTTGCCTTGTGCGGATTAATCCTCCTGAAGGTACTCCTTACTTCTGCTGAGGTCACGCTGAGATGCTCTTCATCCGGTGGCGAGGTGAGTCTGGTGCTGGGTGGTCTGTTCGGGTCTTCAAAGCATGCATAGAACTTGTTGAGGACATCAGGCAGTCATTCATTCAGTCATTCCAGTGTCAAGTTTCCATAGTGATGGTTTGGGGGGCATGTCATCTGCTGGTGGTGGTCCACTTCAATCCTCTCCAGGGTGAAGTTATCCTTATTGCTTGTACACTTTTTTTTCTACCACATCGTTTTCTTCCCTTCACCTCTCTAGTGCTCTGTGCATGAACACAGAGCTCTGTGAACAGCCAGCTTCTTTAGCAATGACCATTTGTGTCTTGCCCTCCTTGTGCAAAGTGTCAATGGTCGACTTTTGGACAAATGTTAAGTCAGCAGTTTCTCCATGATTGTGTAGTCTACAGAACTAGACTGAGAGACCATTTAAAGGCTATTGCAGGTGTTTGAGTTAATTAGCTGATTAGAGTGTGGCACCAGGTGTCTTCAATATTAAAGCTTTTCACAATATTCTAATTTTCTGAGATACTGAATATGTAGTTTTCATTAGTTGTCAGTTATAATCATCAACATTAAAAGAAAAACATTTGAAATATATCAGTCTGTGTGTAATGAATGAATATAATATACAAGTTTCACTTTTTGAATGGAATTACTGAAATAAATCAACTTTTTGATGTTGTTCTAAATTTTATGACCAGCACCTGTACATTATAAACCACGTGTGTTTTAATAATGGTGCTAGTGCATAAATATGGAAGCCCTCTTGTAACTATTTGTCAAATAACTTATCTTTTTCCGTTATGTTATTTTTTATTTGCCTCCCTTACTGCTTCTTTGAAAAACCCAAGCACATCAGGTTGTGTGTTCCATCAGGAGTACTGTGCTGTGACTTTTAGTTGCAATACGTCATGCAGCAGAGAATTCACGTGAAAACTGAAGCATCTCTACACAAAATACTTTATTGAGGAGTGGACACCCAGCCCTCGGGAGCCATTGTGCCATGCTTTTTAAAAATATATATTTTTAAAGAGTCTTAACTGGAGTTAGTAAGACAGACAATCTCTCTCCAGTTTTAGCCTCTCTCCATTGGCTCCCTGTCATATCCAGAATTAAATTCAAAATCTTACTTCTAACCTACAAAGCGCTCAACAACCTAGCTTCATCTTATATTAGAAATATTGTTGTTCCATATTTTCCTAACAGAGTGCACTTCACTCGCAGACTGCAGGCTTACTTGTGGTTCCTAGAGTTTCCAAAAGCAGAATGGGAGGAAGATCTTTCAGTTATCAGACACATTGTCCAGTTTTAAGACTGGGCTTAAGACTTTCCTTTGTGATAAATCCTATAGTTAGGGTTGGCTTGTAATGCTGCTATAAACTTTGACTACTGGAGGACACATTGACATCATTTCCTTAAATGAATTGTTAAAATTGAATAGTTTTCATTTGATACTATTTCTATCTTAGCATGTGATTCTTGACCTGCCATTGTGTATCTGTTCCTCTCAAACCCAGCTGGTCGAAGCAGACGACCACTTGTCCTGGTTCTGCTAAAGGTTTCTTCCTCATGAGGGAGTTTTTTTCTTTCCACTGTCGCCTTCATGCTCAAGATGAAAGTTCTGTGATGGAGTTAAACTCAAAGCAGTCTGCTCCTCAGATAAACAACGTTCAATTATTATTTTTTATGTATATGAATGTTTCTGTTCAGTGCCCTGAAACGACTTCTGTTGTGACTTGGAGCTACTTAAATAAACTGAATTGAACTAAAATAGTTATTTCATTAAGTGTTTACTTATGTAGGTAAACATAAATGTTTAACAACCCGTTAAAATACACCAGAATGAAGGAAATGGCGTCTACTTTATTCAAAATTTTCTGGGAAAAGGACCCCCCCCCAGTCTGTCCACCTCCACACATTACAAATGTTTCTGACACCAATGCAGATATACATCAACATGTAGTCTTCTGTCACCCAGTGTGTCTTAATTGAGTTTGAGTTTTTTCCTAATATACTGTATCCCCCCCCCCCCCCCCCCCCAGCACACACATCCAAACTATCATAGACTTCTCTTGTATCTGAGCTTGAGTTTCCTCTTCCAAGTCAAGTGTGTGTTTTTTATTGATCCTATATTTTACACAAAACACTGTCGACACATAAAAATGTCCGTGTGACAAGACACTTCTCTGGTTCTAACGCTTCAAGAGTTTTTTTCCGTACGGTCGTAGAAAACATTTGACGCCAACGATCAGGTGCACACTTCATCAAATTTCATCAACTCAAAGCTCTGGAGATCCATCAAGGCAGAACCAGAGCCTGCTCTGAGTCCGAGTGCTTCATGAACCAAAGCAAAGCTTCTTTCTTCTTTATGGGGAGCACTGGAAGTGACTCCCCCGCTCTCAGATCTATCAGAACCAGTCCACTCTGGTCCAGTAACAGCTGGCTGCTAAAAGAGAGCCGTCCCACAGATATAGTACATATTATAATGTGTCAGGAAACAGGTCAATGGAAAATGTATTTCCAGTACAGTACGAGTTATAGAGTTCACACAGGTACTGGGAAGCTTAGTTTCTACTCTGCATTTCTGTCTGCTTGTTTTTTTTAAGATAACTCAGGGAGTGAGAGAGAGCTAGGTGAGTGGTTACCATGGTGATACAAATGAGCCACTTGCTTCTTTTTTTTTTTTACTTATTTTTCCTACGTCTACAGTTTACTCATCAAACTGTTGGTATGTTGTCACCTCCTGAGACCCTGCGTCCACATGTGGGGACGTTACAGTTTGACTTCTCTGTACCGTGTACTTCACTCTGTTCAATAGTGTTTTATACTTTGAGCCATGTTCATGTTGTGTTTGAGGACTTTTTTTTTTTTTTACAAAAGTATGTCATAACCATGTAACAAAATACAACTTCCTGTTCAAAGAGGAAGCTTTGTTTATACACATCAGGTCCATCTAATCACAAATATCTAGGAGATGTGAAAAATGCATCGCAAACCACAGCTCGGGTTTCAGGAGGTTAAAACAGAAAGAAGTCCTTTCGGGGTTTTTAAGAAAGTTGATGAAGTGGCTGCATTGGCACCCTTCAGCGTTTCTTCATAATTGTTCTAGTTGTCACCGATACAGTTGGTCATCACATAGACGTGGTTTAATCAGAACGAGTTAAGGTTGATCTTAAAATATTTAGTTCCGACCCAGTTCAGAACTTTAATGTTTGAAACATCATTTCTGATGGAGATGAAAGAGTGCTGGACCCACTGGACAACTGTTGCAGCTGCATCAAGGAGAACAATATGGGGCTCCACTAACTCTCGATCCTCCCACCTGTCTGTCTGTATTCTGATGAAGGTTTCTGGACTATAGTGTGATAGTTGAAGCATTTCAGGGAGCCATTAAAGTGTATAGAAGACTACTGCTCCAACAGGCTAAAACTCATTTAAACAACACTGCCCCCTTGTGGTGAATATTTAGATAAGCTGCCCAGAGTACAGTATTTTTCCTCGTTTCATAGATATAATGTACTAATATTTCAGAATGTACCTGTGTGTATGTATTTGCAGGATACAGCAGGGCAGGAGCGCTATCGTACAATCACTACAGCGTACTACAGGGGAGCCATGGGCTTCCTGCTCATGTATGACATCACTAACCAGGACTCGTTCAACGCTGTGCAGGACTGGTGAGTGGGTCGAGCTTTAGAAAGAGCTCCAGCAGGAAGTGCGTCGCTCTTTTTATTGAGATGCTTTTGTCCTCCAGGTCGACGCAGATCAAGACGTACTCGTGGGACAATGCTCAGGTGACCCTGGTTGGGAACAAGTGTGACCTAGAGGACGACAGGCTCATACCTACAGAGGACGGCCAGCGGCTGGCAGAGGATCTGGGTAAGAACAGAAAACGATTGTTGTAGATGACTGCGAGTGTGTTTACTTCAACCAAACGTCAAACTGAGTTTGTGCTGCCGCTCCCAGGTTTTCAGTTCTTCGAGGCCAGCGCTAAGGACAACATCAACGTCAAGCAGGTGTTCGAGCGTCTCGTCGACGTGATCTGTGACAAGATGAACGAGAGCATGGAAGGAGACGACAATCTGTCCACCCACCACAGGAACCAGGGCCTTAAAGACTCGTCGTCGGAGAGCCACGGGAGCTGTGCTTGCTAAACCTGTAGCCTTTTTACCAAGAATCCAACACACACACACACACACACACACTGATACTCACAAAGAACAACTTCCTGTCTGTGCCTCAGCTTTGGAAAGTGCTGCAGCTCTTCTAGTTTCATAGATAACCTTCATCATCATCATCAGACCTCCACTTCCCATCAACAGGCCCTCCCAGTCTCTGTCTTTGGTTTTAACCCATGACTGTTCAAAACTCTGTCCTTGCATGAACTTCCTGAACCAGTTCACCTCCCGTTGATCCAGTTCAACCTCCATTTAGCATTTGATATTTGCATGCATCATTTGATCGTAGATTTTTTTTTTTTTTTACAAATATTGTTCCACAAAACGACAATGGTGCCACAAACTGAGTCATACAGCGCTTAAACTGCCGCTTCGTACCTTTTTAAAATGGGTTTTGTGGAAAGGTTATGAACGGTCATCATCTTACCTGTTGTAGATGACTCTTTAAGCGATCGGTCCGTAGAAACACTTGAATTATGATGGCTACAACGAGCTAAAACAAACAAAAATAATACATTTTTTGAGCAGTTTGTACTTTTTTGGTTTTATTTTTTGCATCGGTGTCAGTTTAGCGTTGCGCTGGTATTTTGGCAAAAAATGTTCTGATGGTTCTGAAGGAAGGGCCCAGGCTGAACTGGAAACTCCTGCTGCTGTTTGCTCTTGCAAATTGCTGATGAAATTGCAAAACTGACAACGATGTAAATATTTATAGGATGCTGTTTGCATGCATTTGAGATCCTAGTCAGGAAGCGTCCATCTGTTTTGTTCTTGGCCTCGTTACGGACTAGCCATTAGCTCATCACTCGGGTCAGAATAAAACCATTTCTACAGAGTGACGTTGTGATGAAATTGAACAGATAATATTTTCATAACCTTTCCACATAACGAACTATAACTTTGTTTTCATAGTTCACTAGAGATGTGTATGAGTGGCAGCAGTCAGCATGACTGAAGGGGGGGGGGGGGGGGGGGCAGGTGAACGTCTCCATCGCTCTACCTTGAATGATTTCGTGTGGGTTTTAGCAGCTTTGTGCACTCCTATCCAGGACACACACATCATGTTAAATTGGGCTTTACCAGTAAAGGACAAGTTACAGTTTTTGTCCTAACTGCATTTCCTCAGCGTGTCAGTAGATAAACTTGATGTCTGATTTCACCTGGAGAGTCGAGGGAACCTTCAGGGCCAGGCCACCTCACAGGTCTGTCACATGATCTGCACCGTGGCCTCGGTCGTAACATTTTTCTTAACATTCTTTCTCTGACACAAACTTAGTCTACTGTTTGTGGTAACTTGAGTATTTTACAAAGTTGTAAGTCTGTGCAGATGTAACGCTCCTGTTCTGTAGAAGAGCAGCTCAGTGGAAGTCCGAGGTGACTCGGGAAGAAAACCGATCCCTGAAACTGATGAGAACTTTAGCGTTGTTCACGTTCACCCCCATCACTGTCAACTTTGCCATTTATTTGAGAAAACAATAAATTACTATAAGATGGTGTCACGCCACGTTAGCCGCATTTTAATAATAAAATTAAAAGCGTGTGTTTTTGCCTTCTGGACATTTTTCAACATGTCAGTATTGAACTTCCTTTCCATGAAGGGAAAACATCTTTGGACGGCACCGTCACTGTAAACTGTCTTAACGTGCACGAACTGTAACCGTTTCCACCGCCCGTGTGCTGATTACTAACGGTCACTTTGAACCATGATGGCTTTCACACGTTGCCTTTCCAAAGCCCCGCGCTCCGAGCAGGGCTTGTAGGGTGCAGCCAGTGGTCAGCCCCCTCCCTGCTCGTGCACGAGCCTGTGGTAACGCTTCGCCTGTTGGTGTCGGCTGCTGACGGCTGATAACATTTAACAAACATCTGATGGCTGATAACGATCTGCACCTCACTTTGATACACAAATCCAGAACGTAATGAGAAGGAAGGACTCGCAACACTACTCATATTACGTAATGTACGCAGCTTTGCAACTCAAGTGGTAACAAATATAAACATATTCATAAATATCTTTGGTTCTGCTTTTTATTTAGTTTTTGCTTCTTTTTTTTTTTTTTTTTTGAAGGGTATCTCTCAAAGGCGAATCTCGTTTTCTCTATTTTAAGCTCTGAATGTGTCGAAGTAAAACAAACGTATCTTTTAAACAGATAAATGTAATAATGTTGTCATTTATGTGGAAAATAAATAATATATTCACTTCACAACGATTCTGTGTTCAGTGTGATTATTATGCATCAGTCCCAGGGGATAAAAACTGAAGCATCTGCTTGTGCTTGGTTGGTGTTTATGGTTCTGTGGAAAAGTTATGAGCAATAATTATACTGGCCAAAAAAGCAAGTCTCCACCTGGATTTAACTAAGCAAACAGGTACGAGCCTCCTTTTGGATAATTACTGCATGGATGATCATCTTTCAGCTGGTAATAAGTTATTTAATCCCAACTGGTGCAATGAGTTGCTTCTCATTTCTTCAACAACCATGTTGAAAGACACATCACGTGGTCGTAGAAAAGATGTCATTCTGTTTGAGAAGGGTCAAATCATTGGCATCAAGCAGAGAAAACATGTAAGGAGATTGCAGAAACGACTAAAACTGGTTTAAGAACTGTCCAACGCATTATTAAAAACTGGAAGGATAGTGGGGACCGATCGTCTTCGAGGAAGAAATGTGGCCAGAAAAAAAATCCTGAATGATCGTGATTGTCTATCACTTATAAATGTTTGGTGAAATCAAATGGAAGAAAAACAACAGTAGCACTCAGGACTGTGTTTAATAATGAACGTAAGAGCATTTCCACACACACAATGTGAAGGAACTCAAGATATGGGACTGAACAGCTGTGCAGCCTTAAGAAAACCACTAACCAGTGAGGCTAACTGGAAAAAAAAAGGCTTCAATAGGGAGCATAAAGATTGGACTGTGGAGCAATGGAAGAAGGTCATGTGGTCTGATGAGTCCAGATTGACCCTGTTCCAGAGTGATGGGTGCATCAGGGTAAGAAGAGAGGCAGGTGAAGTGATGCACCCATCATGACCAGTGTCTAGTGATCAATGCAAAAAAATGAATGCAACACTGGATGGAAATAAATCTTGTACATTGTAGAAGTTTATCCAAACAATGAAACAGTGAATGCATGATGTCATCAAAGCTAAAGGTGGTCCAACAAAATATTAGTGTGACTTTATTTTTGTGGCAACTTTTCTTTTTGTCCAGGCAGTGCATCTTACCTATGGTTTCTGAGACGTTTCAGTTTGGAGGAATGGTTTAGTTCTTGCATAAATGGCAAGCCAAGGTTGAAAGCAGCTAAAATGGCTCTCGTTGCTCCCGATAAAAACCACAGCAGTTTCTACAAACATTGTTTTAGCTACTTAAATCTTGTATTATCTTTTGAGGAAAAAATAGGCACACATGTATTGTTCTGTTTTTATTTATGTTGGTGCATTCAATAAACTTTTTTTTTTTTGTCCAACAACGACTAAAAATCTTTTTCGTTAATTTTGTCAGAATTTTTCAAACACTCTCATAACTTTTACTACTCTCATTTTCCTGAGGGCCGAAATCGGCCACATTAGAATACATTATAAAATAAAATTTAATCCTGTATTTATCATATAAAATAATGTATTCCTCTTGGTAGTTTTTTTATTTTTATATATACCTTTGTTACTAAACTTTGAATTTTCACAGTACAGTATATTAGCGCACAACATGTTGCTCTGCTTTTATTTTTGAGAGCTTCTGTACGAATCTCCGAAGATGTACGGTAGTTCATCTTACCTCGGAAATGTTTTGTCTTTCTCAAGTGGAGTCCCACCTCTCGTCCAACAAAATTGTTTTATTTGGGTGTAAAGAGCAAAAACTCACTTGTAATGTGCACAGGTAAACATTTCGCACTAAAACTCTGTTCCACATGCATGCAGGCTGCAGCATGAAACGCTCCGCGGCCGACTGCTGTTGGTGTTTTATTAAAAATATTATTGGACAAAAATGTGCGTATATGACCGAAGACTGGGTGACATGAGTTAGTTTGAATGAAAACAAGGCCTCGTTTTCAGCTGTTGCTTCTAAACAGTGGTCTCGAGGGTTGCTACTAAACTGTGGACTGGAATTAAAAATAATAATTTTGAGCATTGCTGGGAAAAGCCTTTTATTACCCAAAAATATTTACGTAAATGTACATAAAACCTTTAATTTTATATCAGTTTTCTTTAAACTGAAATGTGGAATTTATTTATGTAATTTTCAAACAATAGATCTTTAAAGAGTTAACGTTCTTGAAAAGTCATTTAAATTTAATAATTTTATGTCAGGCTGAGATAGCTCTAGAAGACAATAAAAATGTTTATTAAAATTAGTATTTTTAACGAGTTAAACAAGGTGGTCGACGGCCCACACATCTCGCCTTCAAGCTTTCCATGCCATGTTTTTATAACAACTTTTCAGCTTATTTAAGATGATTATGTTTATAGTTCCTGACCATATGACAGAAATTGTGATGTTTTGTGATGTCAGCACACCTCGATCAATTGTGAAATTAATGGTTGTGTAATTGTTAATGGAACAGAGCTGCGTGAACCTCTCAGGATGTTAAGATCTGAGCTGTTTTAAGGCAACAGCTCCACTTTGGTCTCGGCTCTGCTCAGACTGGCTGATGGACTTAAACTCTGTTTCCCCAAACTGAGGTTGTTCAAAGAGCCATCCACGACAGGTAAGACACTGAGTCTTCATAGCTCATCCACAGAACCTGACTTCCTTTAGGTGTCATTTATGACCACGCAGTTTACCTCTTAACCTTTAACCCCAACGGGCCAGGGTCACACATGTTATCTTGAAGAAGCAGAAAAACCACAGTAACGCAGGTTTCCTCTTCCTCTTCCTGCAGGGCCATAAAGAATAAAAGTCACCAGCTGTATCTCCATCATGCTTGTCCTTGGTTTGATGCAGTGCATGAAATGTTGCTTTTGTTTACATCAGCAGCCTCCAACCACCATGTGATGTAAAGACGCGCTGAACTGCATTTAAACTGACGGGGATGGGCTACTAGCCCCCCCCCCCCCAGCTCTGATAATTCTGCACCAACGATTAAAAACACGCGCGTGCAGAGAGGAGATAAGAGACTGTTTGTGGGTCTGTTCTGTGCACGAGCAAGTTGTGGTTTCTGTTGTACGGAGGAAAGTGGGGCCAAACAGAAGACTGAGGGTCACCTCATTATCTATCTATCTATCTATCTATCTATCTATCTATCTATCTATCTAT